CTCAATCAAATGGAGTGACCGCGGACAAAAAAAAAAACCGTTTCCGGGCAAACGAATATTTTTCGAATCTCGATACACGCGGGAAACCAAAGGGGAATTCAATTTTGTCGCGTTCCACCGCTAATTTCAATACCGCATATGCATACGTCCTCGTTTAGTAATCGTCCATGAAAATATAACGCAGACTCACACACACTGTAGTGGAATTAGCGTTCGTGTTAGCGTCCGTCCGACTTTTCCTCGGAGATCGACATACATTTTGTAATCAACGCGACAGCAAACGTCTATCGGTGCTCATTTTAGCGCGGTTTGTCGAACGATCGGCGTATCGAGAGAGCACCCAGCCAGCCATAATCACTATACACGTAGGCTACATAAAAAAATTGTAGGAGAGGTCATGACGCCTCTCTCTGTACACAGATTTTCGGTTCTCTGAGGCATCCGGTGATAGTTTTGCTCTTATCCTTGCGTTTGTATATATATATATATATAGACATTTTTTATCGTAATATTTACGCAGTATCCTCGATATATAATGCAGCAGCGCGAAAATGCCCGATCGAGCCTGGATGCGCGCGAGAGAGACTGTTATTAACTTGTGTACAGAAATTGTCGCAGTCGACGATTTACATACTTTTTGTACCTATAAGGCTCAACCTATACGCGAGAAAATACGCGGCGGGGGAACTCCGACCGAAAGATAAATCCTCCTAGAGGAAACGTTATAGATTGGAATAACGGAGTACACACCTAAACGAGACCTTGGGAGATGTAAGAGTCACACAATAATCGGTAATCTAATCCTCGAGTATGTACTTATTATGAGCTTCAACAAGTATTGAATAGTATTACGACGTAAGGATTAAGGCTAAACGCACGTTAAGGATAAAATCGAGAGACCGGCCGACCGCGACGTCGCGCGGATCGACGAGGGGGGCTCACTCGGGAATTTCGCGCGCAGTCTCCGCGTTTTTAGCGGGAATGCTCCTCGTCGATCCGCTCGGTCCACTCGTACCTACAAATCATCCTCAAATTTCTCCAGCCATCAATCGACGTCCCGGATCGTACCGGATCACAGGCGCGCCTGGATATAGAGAAAAGAAGCGGTCGAAAGAGTGCTAGATACGTATGTGCGTGCGTGCGTATATGTATGCGTGTGTGATTGCGTGATGTGTCACGGATTGATACGTAAAGAATAGTAACTTACCTATCGTGTATCTAAAGAAAGTTATAAAAAAGAGTAAAAGCAAACTTAATATTACGATAGAATAGTAAAGTACACGAACTTTGGCTAAGAACGCCCTCGTGCAGTCCTTACTGGCCACGACGTCATGTCAACCGCGTGTTATGGTAACGCGAGGAGAGAAATCGTATCGATCCTGGAACGGGAATGGTCTCCTTTACGTCTTGCTAGGCGCGGGAGAGCCAAGTGTCCAAGGGCGAGTGCACGAGGGCGCACTTCGGGTTGGAGTAGGCGTGATCACGGAAAGCAATCTAAGTTGAATCTAAAGTTGTTAGATATATTATTTGTAAGATTACTGTATGTTGCGAGTGGATGCGATTGATGCGGCGGGATATCGCGAGCGGATTTTGGGGAGAAAAACCTGCCCGGCAGAGCAAATTTTGTCGCTGTTTGCGGAGACACGAGCTCGAAATGCATCTTAACGAAAAAAAAAAAAAAAAAGAAGGAAAGAGAACATCGCATCTGCGAAATTCCAGTCGATTATCCCGCAACGTCGACCGCGAAGGCGAGATAGATTATAGCTCGGTTTAATGTATGCGATGCGATTTTGAGTAACGCAACATAATAGTTACTCGCGTAAGGGAACGGAAAAGGGGGTGAGGGGGGGGGGAGGCAGAAACGCCCTAACTGAATAATTAGTTACGATACATACTACTACGATACAGAGAGAGATGAGAAGTGAAGGATAGCCGATAACGATTTATTAAGATATATCACTAGGACTAGCCGACGACTGTCTTAGGTTTCGCGAGTGATTTCGGAAACGTAGACTTATTTCTCGGGAGGGGGTGAGATATGGAATGGGGAAGGATTCGCTGTATACTCTTTACTTTTTTTTACCGCGAAGATTAGGGGAAGAGCGAGAGAAAATGTGATCCGTTTGACCGATTTCCTCTTAATTTTACCGGCCTTTCTTTCCGCTCTTGTGTCATCGGCGCCGTTTTTCTTCCATGATGATTTTTTTCTTCTTCTTTTTTTTGTCGCTCTCCCTCCTTTTTTACGATATATCTTGCCTTAAAGCAGAAAATTGGAGCAAACTCGCGCGCACGCGAGATTAATAGTCCATTCGTATCGTGGAAAACTCATCCTTCATCATCGCCGTATTTTTCTCCGTCTTTTCGGTTCGCTTCTTTTTTGCATTCTGCTCGTTCCTGTCGACAGCAGAGCGATCAAGGGTGGAAATTAGGGACGGGCGGTAGCGCGCCGTGAGTCGTTTTCAAGCTCGTAGAAGCCGATATATGCCGCTTACGGGAATTCAATTTAGTACCGCACGGTAAGGAACGGATCCCTCCGCATCGCTCGAGGTAACGCCGCCCGCAGAGGCGTGCATCGGCGCATCGGCAGTTTTGTTTATGGAACGTACTCGTGAATATCGATCTTCCTCAAAGCGCCCCGCCAAACGTTGTGTTTGTTCGCACCAGGCGATATGTTTATCGATTAAATTAATTCGGCCACGCATACGCCGCACACCTTGCGCCTGTCGAACGAAGGTACAGTTTTTTTCTATGCTGTATGCGCAAAGTGTGATTTTTCGAGAAGCTGCGATTTATACATAGGAAATCATTCTCATTTTTATGTAAAAAACAAATCTAGTTTTATTGTTTATTATAAGGAAGTGTTTTGAAAATATTTGTAATAATTGGATCTCAGAATGAAAGTGTATGTGCGCTGGATACATTGACATCAATGTTTAATCTATAGTGCATACAGATTCGCGATTATACGATCGATCGATTCACGGTACGCACCGCCTAAAAATTCAGACTTATCGACACGTATGTGCGATTATCATCGTTAATAACACGACCGTAGATAATTTTTAGTTCAAAGAATTTCGTACGATATAAGAGACCCTTTTAGATATTCACCTATTACCTAAACATCCAATCGCTATTTTTATCAAAAAAACATGTTAAAAATCTTTAATAGTTATCCATTGTTCACTATTGCTATAATAAAGTTTTGCTTTAATAAATGATTGATTCGTATATTATTCATTTGAATCCACATCCTCTCCAAGTTCCACAAATACGTATAAAACTTTTCAGGTACAAAAAGAGATGAACTCTTTCCATCGAAAAAATATGTTATTAATGGGCTTGTTTAATCAAGTTTTCAAATAGTATGGCGTTTGACAGAACGGAGAAAAGATTCCAGAAACCAGGTAAGTTTAATATCGGTATGTAAAATTTTAGCAACGATGTCACGAACTCACAAACAACAATTTATTTCGGATACTTTCGAAGAGAGGCACGAAATTCGCGACTCGTGACGTTTAATCAGCGGACAACGAGAAAAAGGATCGTACACCATCCGGAGCGATGTTATCGCAACCTTCGGCCATTCTGTTCGAGTATCGTGCGATCGATACAGCAATCTTAATGTCGGTGTATCTTCCGTTTGAATAATTACGCGCTATTCCAGACTCTATGTTTCATGTGCAGCCGCGGCAGGCTATAGACCTCTGACTGACGGACGTCATAGGTGTTTGACTTGTGAGGAGGGATAAACATTTACGTCACGCGCTATCTTGCGAGCGAGGGGTTTCTTGATCTAATGTGACGTCATTGGAACTATACTATTACTTTCTCTCTCTCTCTCTCTCTCTCTCTTTCTGTCTCGGATGAACGCTTCTTCGAAACTCCGTGACGCGGGTCGCACGACTTCAAAGGTGCGCTTTGCAATGTTACCGCACTTTATGCGGTCGACCGCTGTTAGAAAGGTCGTGGGAATGTGCATACGATGTTCTTTCAAACAGGGTTGGATGTAAAGCTGCCCTGAAATCGGCACGCCTCATCGGTGTGTGGTGTCCGTAATATTTAAAGATCGCGTTTATAGTCGCGATGACGCTAGTATTGTCGTGTCGTCAGAGAGATTGACGCAATCTATCGGCTGCATATTAAGACGCGCGCGCTAGTTATATTTTTTACAGCGAAAAGTCGAGTGAGATTCAACAGTGTAATGTACGAAAGAAGTTTAGTTTACGTCGGCATCCTTACAAAAGGAAAGAATACACACTATGAAAGCACACGTGGTGAGAAAAATCGATTCGGCTTAGATTTGTATCCTAGATTCGGTTGAGATTCCAACACTCACGCGAAATTCAATTTAAAAATTTAATCTCGATAAGACCCGATATATCGAGACGTTGCACCCCGGTTGAAATTTGTGCTCTCCAGTAAGATCGTATTAAATCGGCGCGAGGTCCATTGATCTTAACTTTGCTAGCCATGTCAAACGACGATAAAAGATACATATCGGTTCGATTCGGAGATTGAGAGTTTGATCTATCGCATGATGGCTTGCCCGTGTTCCATAAGTAGTTACAATCAACGGCGCTTTGCTGTCGTCATTGAATAAACGCATTCGGAGGGAGATGAACAGGATTGGAAGGGGGCAGAGGATACTGGCAGGATGCCAGTATCAATGATAACGCGCGATATCTAAGCGCGCAAATAAACTGCAAAACGCGAGTGCCATCAGGACAGGGCATTTACAGTCGTCTTTATCGTCCTGTTTCTGCGCGCGTCGATATCTTTTGTGAATATTTCAGTTTATCTATGGTCGCATAAAATTGACGAAATTATTCAAGTTTGAATGGAATTACTTGATGCGGTTTAATTAATTAATATGAACTGTTTGAGCGTCGGATTGTTACGGACGGCAAGTAGTTTATTCTTTTGTGTGCATGGCGCGAATATCCGCACGTTTGATATATCCGTTAGTTTATATTTGTTTCATATCTGTGCCTCGGATACGCGCGGGAGCATCGAGTTTATCCGCAAAGCTGAGCACACTATTTAATTCACTTTGTTCTTTCTGGGGCATATGTATATAATATATATGGAAGTAAAATTCGATATTGTTTTGTTAGAAACATTCACATTATGGAGCGCATTAGTACTTTTGATTAATTCAAATTTGTAAATAGGTTAAAGTATTTCAATATAACGTGGTTATATATAATTTATTAATTTTTATATACACATTTAAAATTTGTGTGTAATAATATACTGTAGAAAAATCGTATTAATTAGTTTAAGAAATATTGTTATATATTCGCTTTATTAATAATATTATATCTAACAATTCAAATGCATTTAAAGAATATAAAAATCTTTTATCTGTTTTCGTGCATCATTTGAAAAAAGCTGACCTATATTAGGAATAAATATTCTTGCTCTTGCTATTTCCGTAAAGCAGATTAAGATCAATTTGCAACGTCAGCAACGAAAGTGTGTTTATTGCGTAGTTAATACTTCATCGAGATATCAATTTATATTTTTATTGAATTACCTTTAAAGATGCACATTGAAATAGCAAAAGCCGACGATCCGATCCGCGATCAATTAATCCGCGCCATATCTCATTCTCGCGATATCTCGCGACATATTCCACTCATGATTAATGCATCATTGACTGTTCGGTACTTTTGTTCTCGCCGCCGTTGCACGTTTTAATCGTGCGCAATGTTTCATACCCTTCTCCATTGACAGGCAAAGTAACTAACGGAAATCGATTAGTCCCGCTGATGCATTATCGAAATATCGAGTTGCTGCGATACGTATTTCCAGCGCGCATCACCGACATAACATTAAAAAATCACTATTCGAAACCGATAGGCCGCTCATCGATTTTACTTCACGATAATCGCAATTCCCGTATTAACTGTCGTTTATCTGATATTCAGAGCAACCGTCTGTTTACATTTTTCGAACTCGCTTTCCCGATTTGGACGCCCTGTTTTTAGCTTGCGAACTGCTCGTTTAAATTTATACGTACTATTTTACTTGCTTGTCGACAATTCTACGAATATAAAAATATAGGAGAAATAATAAGAATAGAAAACGAAGGTATAATAATAATATCGAGTGGTTGCGAAGGGAGGCACAAGCGTCGCGTTTTCGCTCGTCACTTTTCTGGATTAAACTTTTATTCTCTATATTCTATATTACCACTTAATGCCCATCTTAGAGAATAATTGAGAAATTGTATAAATAAACTTTTTATGTCATATGTGTATTAATAGATTGACTTGTTTAACTTCTATCTTCAACTCTCTATACTTATTATTCTCTACTCACGAGGCTAGCCGTTGCTTTCATTATTCTCTCCGAATTTTTCTACATCAGCCGTACTTTTCGCACACATTTTTCGGTTTTTTTTTGCCTTTCTTTTTATTACGTCAGATAGGAGAGCGAAATTTATAAAGCCGCCCTCGGGATACAAGGATCTGTGAGCGTTAAGGTTAACAGCTTCCACTATCCGACGGTATATGACTATACTACACACTCAACGGCCTGATAATGCTTTACTTGCATTATGGAAAACAGTTCGTTAAAACCGTATTATCCGCTCCGCCGAGCGGCGGTGCCGGCCAGAGGCTCAGCTGCGTGCTAGGAGCTGCTATGTCACGATATATCGCTTCTCGATGGTCTTCGCCGTAGCAAGTACTTCGAGAATTCATGAGGAAACTTGGAGGGCTCAAAGGGAGACCTTGGCGTTGTCAAGGGTAGCAATAGCGAGTGATATAGTTATCAAGAGCCTGGACTGTGACCTACTGCGGACAATACCTCCTTAGTATCCTTTGCAGATCCCTTTGATGCGAGGCAGATGAGCAAGGAGAAATGTTCAATATCTACTAATATAATAATAGTGGCTGATTATACACGAGTTGAATAATTCTCGTAAAGTTATAATTTAAAGTAAAATTAATATTTTCTCTCATAAAAAATGTTTAAGTGAAATGGAGAGAATTAAAGAAAAATTTAATTTTTATTTATAACGCGTTATTTAATTATTTGATAATTATCTGTAAAATAAAAGATACTATATTTTTCTATAAAGGCTAATTGATGCTGCTAAAGCGCGATATATATCATATTATAAATTGATGTGGTAAGATAATTATAGCATAGTTTCTGGCAGCGACTACGTTTCTTGCGGTTCTTGAGATCGGATTTTCGATTTGAGGTGGTATTGTCTCCGACTTCCGTCCTTATCGCTGCTCTCCGGTAGCTTCCAAGATTTCAACGCGCGACGAAAGGAATCTCCCAGTTCTTAAGATCGAAGCCAACTCGATCTTCGACCGTGTCGTGTTTCCACGCCCACTGACTGCGCCGCATCTATGGTCTCATTGTGCTTTAAACAAAGCGACCGCCGTGAATTGTTCGGGATTTAATGAAAGAAGAATACTCGCAGTCACCCACCGAGACTCCGTCTGTTTGCAAGGGGTCCGGCATCAAATCCTCCGACTGATTCCTGAATTTATCGAGAGCCGCGAAATAGGCGTGGAATCTGTTAAACGAACCGTGAACCGACACCCGAGAATTTTTTACCGAACAGAGGAAAATCGCTTCGGAGCGCTCATCGCGAATTCCGTTTGAGAGCCGAGTTACTGGGTAAAATTACTTCATTTTTGGCTGTCTCTTAATTAACGAACGTTCAAGAATATTGCGAGAGATTCCGTATCGGTAGACGCGAATGATTAATCCCGCTACTATTATATTTTCTCATTAAACAGTGCAAAAACTGTCAGATACACATTACGGCTTTGTGAATATTTAAATTTTGAACTGACGCTCCAGCGATCGCACAAGTATACACTACAAACAAAACCTCTCGTTGTATCTCGGACTCGTTACCGCTATTTAATCCTGTCTGTCGTCAACAGACATGTTTCGATACTCCACGAAGCGATGACACGTCCATTGCAGAAAAACCTCGGACCAAATGATTTATAAAAATCAGGTCTTTTGGCAATACTTCAAATTTTTTGATTAAATGCAGGAATCATGTAATCATGTAATCATATAATACGTAGCGTCGAACAATTCTCATTTTAGAGAACCAGATTTGAAAAAAAAAACTTAAATCCGTAACCATAGTTGTTAATAGAACTTTTTATTTAATGCGCAGGTAAGAATTTATCTTCAGTTTACTCAATAAAGCTTTAAGAGAGACAAAAAAA